AGCCCATAGCGGTCCCACAACGGCCAGAAAAACGTCAAAACCATGGAATCTACTCCCCCTCACTTCGTCTACATCTCAGCTCAGAGAGTGGGGGACTCCTGATGGAGTATATGGGCCTAGACCCCAGGACCCACATACTCAGAAGAATAAGAGGCATAGCTGTCACCCAGTGGGGCCTCCGTCGGCCAGATGGCCCCCCATCGGTCAGAAAGATATCAACTCAGAACATGGTCCGGAAGCCGGGAGAACCTGGTGTCCCCGTCGGCCATGGCCGCGTCGGCCACAAAAGGCTCCCAGAACCGAATTTTGTACTTAGTTATTTCTACACATCTTGTACTCAGCCCAATAGTGGTCCAATTGTAAACGGGCCTCCCAAGCCCAAGACTTGAGAGCCCAGCCATAATTTCCTCTATAAATACTCCCCTTGGAGGTAGTTGTAGGGGGTTCACAAATCATTAATACAAAGCAATTATAGCACTTCTCTCTCTAGCTCTCACTTCTCTCTAGGAGTTGATACTCTATCAGTTGCATTGGTCGATGATCATTTTAGGTATTTTTCTTTATTTTATTAATAAAAACATTTATATATAATTTTTTCATAAATCAGCAGATTCAGCTCGTACTCCCCCTACTTTTTTCTTCCATTTCTTGTTCCATTTTTCAGTATTTTATTAATTATTAGTACACCATTTTAATTGGGTGATTTGTGGTTAGTCGGGTCATTATTAGTCCATTCAAATCATTATTGAGGACACCTCCTTAGAACCGGCACCGGTATCGGGTTCATGGCTACCCCCTTTGAAGGATAACTAATTAAATAACAATTATATTTCAATAAAAATTATGCTAGGTTTTTTATGTTGGCATGAAAGCAAGAAAAAGCATGAGAGTTTTAACCATCCTTGGTCCTAGACCTCCTTTCCAATATGCACACAATGTGATGCTAAATATTCTCATCCTAAATCCTAAAAAATATTCATGGTAATAAATATTCCCTTAATATTATTTAAAAACAATATTTATCCGAAATGATTAACTTTAAATTCAGCCAAACTTCATTATACTCCCTCCGTTCTTTTTTAGTTGCAACGGTCAACATTTCACATTTACCAACGCACGTCTTTGACCATAATTATATCTTAATTCTATTAGTAAAAAATATTAAAAATCAGATTTTAAATATTTGTAATGAGATGAATTGAAACATATTTTAAAAAAAAATTCATAAAATAATAGTGTAAAATGTAGTCAAAGTAGAGCATGTGAATAGTGTAAAATTCAACATGTTGCGATTAAAACGGAACGGAGGATAGTATATAATAGATCTTATATTTGGAACAAGGAGGGTTCTATTTTGATTAAAAATTATTTCAAGATTATAGGTGTTATAGTTCAATCAAATTAATGAACAAAATTAATTAAAAGAAAACTTATACTACGTAAGTTATAACAAAGAGCCTAGTCCACTGCTTACATTTTAAATATAACAATTAAATCAACTAACTACTACCTAAAAAGTAGGTAAAATATACAACATAGCGTACTAATCACTTCTGCCTATAGAAGTTGTAACTAGGCAAGACAATGGGTGGGGACGGGTACTGCAAGACCCAGACCTGCCCAGTGACTTGACGTGGTGGGTCTGTCCCGCCCCGTGACCTGCATGGGTCCAAACTTGTTGACCCATGACTCGTCCCATGCGGGGCGGGTCCGCCCCACCCCACCGTAACCTAATTAGTTAGTATGTATTTTTATTTGTGAGAAGTTGTTACCAATTGAATCTACATAAAGTTTATCTTTAAATTATTATTAAAAATTAATATATTAAATCAAATTCACAATACACTAGAAATTTCAAAAGTTAAGGAAAAATCACTTAGACTTGAATAGATAATCTATTTAATTATATGGGAAAACTGTCATATAGGTCCTCCTACTATATAGAAAAAGTCAATTAAGCCTCCGTACTTAAAAAACACCCAATTAAACCCCTAAACTCTTAAAAAATGTTCAATTGAGCTTTTCTGCAGGTATCTGGTGAAGCTTTCTTCAGGGGCTTTGACCTTCATTATATTAATACTTGAATATATGTATTAAAATGCTATATATAAAGAAGACATTGATAATCCGCCGTTCATCTCAATCTAATATATATTGATATATTATAAGATCAAGGAATTTATGATTTATTTAATACACACATATGAATGTTGAAGTATATTTGCAGCATAATTTAAGAAAAAATATGTATATACTTATATATTGAGCGGGTTGGGTTGGGTCGGATCAGGGCAGCACGGGTCAATACTAATACCCGAACCCGCCCCATTGTATAGGAGGGGCGGGACGGACCCATCCCATTTGCAAGACATCCCTAATTTGGCCCGCCCCAAATGTCTCGGGTCAGGGCGGCTCATTGCGGGCTGAGTTTTTTTGACATCCCTAATTGTAACTTTAAGAAAATCTCTACTCATATTTCTCTGTACAGAGAAAATGAACATACATCTTAACGAAAGAGAATAGTCTACTACATACAATGTAATTTAAATTTATCATCACAATTTCTTCCTGTAGAGATAAAAGGTGATGGGGGCATCTATATTTTCCATTGGGGGCACGTAACTTGTTTTTATATTATTGAAATGAAATACAACTCCTACATTAAAGGGGTGTCCCCTACACGGATTTTAACAGATTTTAATGGAGTTTATAATTCCACCCATATCTAGGTGTCATCAACTTAAATTTCTATAGAATCTATTAAAATTCAGGTATCCTCAAGAATCCATGGATTTTACTTATTGATTATTTTAATGGATTTTGATAGACTTTGATGGACTTTTAGGCCAAAAAATTGAATAACCCAATCCACCAACAATCTCACCGCCACCTTTTAGATTTCCAAATCCATTAAAAAAAACCCGCGTACACGTATTCGCTCTGCCACAGTTTAATCGAAGCTCCCTGAGTATTCTCTTCCATCTTCCATCTTCCATCTTCCACCTTCTTCATCCTTCAAATTTTATCACTCGGGCTGAATGGCTGATTAATCATCCCAATTCCCTGGTAAATTCATTGTTTATCAGACTTGTCTTCTTTTTGTTCTTATCGATGATGGCTCATTTGTAACATATGAGAAATTTAATTTGGGTGTCTTTTTGTTCTATTATTGTTTTGAATTGAGTTTCCATAGCTTTGTGATATAAGCATTCAATAGATTATATTATATGTCGAGCTTCCACTTTTCGTAAATATCCAGCGTCTGTTTTATATTCTTTTTGTTCTTATTTTTTCTGTGCTATGTTTTGTTTTAACGCATTTCTTTTACAGTTTTACATCTAGTCATTGGTTTTTGTTCAGCAGTTTTTCCAGCAAATGATTGTGGGATTTCTGTTCGATATACTTATATAACTATGAAATGCTAAATAAGATGTGTAGATTTTTTAGTTTAGGGTTGCTGATGAATTTCCAGTTGCACAGCAGTAGAGTTCTTTACCCAAAATGCTAAACCACGAAGTGGTGTAAGTAAAATTTTTGGTGATGATGGCTTTGGGCAAATTAGGGTTGGATTCGGTTCGGGCCACCCGGCCCGGCCCGGTACTGTGCGGGCCCGGGACCGGCCCGGTCGGGCGGTCCGGGACCGGGTATGGACCCGAACCGATGGGAAGCGGCGGGGGCGGGCTCGGTTCTGGATTTTTGTAACCCGGCCCGGCCGGGTCGGGCCCGGGCCCGGGTCCGGGTCTATTTTTAAAAAAAAAACTTTTTTTTGTTTGGTTTGGCTACTAGCCGTTGGGGCCTTGGGGGTGGGGCTGGGGACAACCCAAACGGCTATATAGCCGTTGGGTGGGGTAAAGGGGGGGTCCGGGGGGGTTGGCTGGTGGGGGGGGTGGGGGGTAAAAAAACCTATAAATACTCCTAATCTTAAACATTTTTTCATCTCTTCTACAATTCTTCCTAAATCCTATTCTTAACTCTCTACTCTCTAATTCTCTTATTCTCCAATATATTATATTTATTATTTATATATCTACTTTATAGTTTATACTTAAGAAGTTAAGATGGAAAATCAAGATGCCATTATACGGTATAATTTTGATAAGCAGAAGGACCCGAAGACCGGGATGTGGTACGCAATTTGCAAATGGTGAGAGAAAAAATGTAACATGAGGGCTTCAGGCGGATTCGGGATGGCAATCAAGCATATGAAGTCATGTGACAAAGCCAAAGGATCGGGAGGTGCGGGAAGTTCCGATTGATTACAATTTTCAAAATGTTTCTCTCTTAAAGTTTGTTTTAATTTTCAAATGTAGTTCCTATTTCATTTCAAATAAATGCAATTGAAGTTTGTTTTTAATACTCGTATAAAACTATAAACTATAAAATATAAATTATAAAAAAAAAAAATTAACCGGCCCGGCCCGAACCGGACCCGACCCGTGGCCCGGCCCGAACCGGACCCGTCCAACCCTCGGGCCGGTCCCGGGCCCACTTTTCTTGAACCGGCGGCCCGACCGGGCCTAGGCCCGGCCCGGGCCCGACCCGGACCGAATCCATCCCTAGGGCAAATGAATTAGGGAGGAAAAAAACATGAGTAATTTTTGTTTCAAATCTATTAATATCCATTCAAATCCATATGATTTGATGAAATAGAATTCCATAGAATCCATATGAATCTCATGGAATCTGTAGAATTCCATTAAAATCCATACAATCTACGATCCTTTAAAATCCTTTAAAATTCGTGTTGGGGACACCCCTTTAAAAGTATAAAAAATTTAGAGGGTATGCTCCGAAGTTAACAATCCACTTTTTCCCTCTAGTTTTTTTGGATGTAGTGGTAAATAATGAACAAATTCTTATCACCACTTTGTGGTTCGAGGTATCTATGACACTCCCAAGAAGGAGGTCACATGTTCAAAACTCATCCGAGTCAGGGATGTTGACATTTAACAGAAAAGATACTATGAGAAAAGAGAAAGTACAGCAAAAAAAACTACCATACGGATCAAAGTAAATCGAACAGTGGACTCCTTTCTGTTCTACATTTATTTATACTTGCAAACAGCACACCCGCACACATTTGGTATATAAAAAAGCAACGTTTGGCAGATAAGACAGTATAAAAAATGAGGCAACAAATGACCAAAACAAGCGGTAGATGAAAAGTACTGCTTTTAACGAACATTACGAGATGCCATATTATTATGAGCATAAAAAGCATTTCACAGGATCAAAAGCTAAAAGAGTAGGAAACATATATGGGATAAGCAAGAGATAGCACATGGATAGAAGAACATTACACGAGCCTTGACTTATGAATGTTATATTAAAACCAGCACCTTCAGTCACAGGAAACTACATCGGCATTAACTTCAAGAAGGATCAAAGTGACACGAGGCTATTCACGTACGGCACACATATAGTAGCATCATATGTTTCTGCACCTGGCTGGTTCAGAGCTTTAGTTTCTTTGGACTTCAAATCATAGGAATACAACTTTCTCCCACACTTAATGACCAGAGCATCACTGCTTAGAATTTCAACTTTGCAGCGGTTATGATCCCCATCAAGCACATCGCTTTGGAGAGAAACATTCTGTACAGGCTCCCACATTTTTGTTCTGGAATTCAGTTCCATGGTATTTGTGTGCACATTAACCAAAGCACTAATACACACTGAAAGGCCGAGGAGAGAAGTCTTACATAGCTTTCCATCAAATGTTCCCAGAGCACAGTCACTACTGTAATAATGCTTTTCAAGAAGTTGTGACCTGTCTTTTGCTAGATCAAAAGAAAGAATGCCACCACCAGCCATGTTCCAGTAAACAACCCCATTGACATGAATCCCAGACCTAGGGGTAAATCGTTTAACTCCAAAACGAATCTCCCCAGAAACACTCCACGAATTGTTTCTGGAGGTGTATATTTCAAACTCGGCTGCATCATCAAAATCTGCAGATCGGAAAGCACAGATGAGCTTGTACTCAGGTACAAAGTTGAGCAGTGATGGTTCGAATGCAACTACAAGTGCTGAATCAGGTCCATGACAAGCAGTTGGTTCTGGAAGTTTGTGCCATTGTTTTGTAGCTGGATTGCACATGTAGTAGGGCTTGTTTCCGCTTCGTCCTTGACAACAAAGAAGTCCATTTGATGAGGCCTTAAGGTCAACAGGCTCTGGCAGAAAACTCAGGGATGGGTCTGGAACACCTGAAGATTTTAGGTGGATAGGTATGAAGACAGAAGGATTTTCAGGAGTCTGACAGAATAGACCTGATATTGCACGGCAACAGAGTGACTGAGTGTGGTGAAAAAATGGTGCCGAAATATGGAGCTTCCAGTCTCGACAAACCGCCCGGAATCTGAGTAGTGATATAGCTGGAAGGAAAGGCAGGGCATGTTCTCTGATGATATCCTTAAGATCCATGTAAAGAATACTGTTTGCAGAAGAAAGAAGTTTCCCTGGCTTTTTCCCGGACTCCATTCTTGCAACCAAGAGTATCTCTAGAGATTGGGATGCAAAATAATGTCAAGGAGACCAAATTACATGCAATTATGACCAAATATGCACTATATACCCTATTCTCATTGAGAAATCACTAATCCCAACTACACAGAGGCACCACCACATTGTAAGAGGAACAATTGTTCGGTAAGAAAAGATTCATTGGCATTACAAATTCACTATACATTAAACAAGAAATGTGCAAGCAGGGGTAATGACATCAAGCCAAACCATTTAAAAAGTTAGGCCTCTCTTGTAATAAGCAAAAAGTAGACCCACAAGAAACCACATAAAAGAAATAAAAATACAACAATACCAGGCTTATCTATGTAGTAGTGTAGTACGTATGTCCATATGTAGTGGAAGTCCTTACCTATCCTTGTTCAATAGCTTCAGAATTAATTTGTACAACACCGTTTCCTGAAATAGATCAGTAAAACGAAATATTAATACCAGGCATATAGCATTATTAAGACATTATACCCATAAAGGCATCCATACCTCTAGATAAGTAAATGTTAATCAGTCATAAAACAACATCCAAGCCTTAGTCCCAAAAGATTAATGCAAAAAGAGATCAGTGATATATCTCATAATTTAAAAACAAGATCAAATGTCGAACCCAAAAAGTATGCTAATTCAAATGTGAAAAATGTCATTACTTTGTCAACTGTCGCAGTATTAGGGATGTGGTAGCAAAAACACCATAACATGTATGTAAACAAACAAAGGCAAAACTCCAAAATATACAGACAATATCTCAAGATATTACAAGTTTTTACCCCAATATATGTTACTCCCTCCGTCCCAAAAAAAGTAAATGAAATTGGAAGTGGGATGATTTTATGGGACATCCCAAGAAGAAAAATAATCATTACTACTATTATTGTTATTGATATTATTATAACTGTCTCCTAGTTTTCTTTATAAGAAAGGGCAAAACCGAGATCATTATTCAGTATACAAATTAAAAAGCAACAATTTATTTTCACAATATAACAACCACATTTGATAGTTCCACTGTACCTTAAGGACCAAGAATCAAGTTAATAGCTGATGCAGGGGTTGATTTCCCCCCAATGTGTATGTCCTCTCTAAACACAGACCATGAAATAATTGAAAATCCACGACCCCGAAATTGAAGAGAAGTGAAAAAAGAAAACACCCGCAATTAGCTCACACTCTATACGATGTGATACCATGAATGGAATAAATCAAACTCCCTAAGTAGTGAATACGTAAATCGTAACACAAATTCAGTATTATGATTGTGATTAAAGAAAAAGGCGCGCGCGCGCACATATATATATAATACGCACATAATTCAAAGGAATCTACGCATCCCGAGAGGCGCTTGACCAGCGATTATCAAAATTAAGTAATTTTTTTTATTTTCTATGGAAGAACGAACTTACGAACGATAGTAATGGCTGAGGAGACCGACACGAGAAGGGAATATAGTGACATGAGACGTAGTAGCTTAATGTAATGGGGTTAAAACTTCTACTGCCTCCATCCGGGAGTTTGTTCCAGAGGAAGGCTGTATAATAAAAGTCAATACTCCTTCCGGCTCACATGGGAAATTTCAACCTTAATAAATAAATGTTGATTTATATACTACCTTAGTATTTGATTTTTTTTGTCAAACAGTTTCATTTTTTTTGCTTAATTAGGATGCCAATTTTTAATTATATTCTAATTTGAAGTTTGCAACTTTGAAGAGATTTCGATATAGTTTCTAAATATTTAAATTTTAATCAGTAAAAATTTAATTAATTCTCAATTGAGAGTATTGACTTTTATAAATGTTGACTTTGCAAAACAATTTGGGACGGAGGGAGTAATAAAAAGGGAGTGAAATTGGTAAAGTAAGAATGAAATAAAAATAATTTCGAATCAGAAATTTTTCCACTTTTGGTCCCCCGACTTTAGTGGCTGGGACCATTTGGTGTGAAGCTTGTGTGCCGCTTCCAATGGCGGCTAAATCCACCATTTTGCAGTCAATCCTTTAAACTGAAACTGGAATATTCATCTGTGGAATATTAAAAGCGGAAGATGAAAGTAGAAAATGGCTACTCGACCTAATTCAAGAGCGGGAGATTAAGAATTTAAGAGCCGTGAATTTGGCAATAAAATGACTCTTTTGACCCCCCATTAATTAGCACATGACACGCACATGCGTGTAGTTGGCCGGAAAAATCAACCGGAGGACCAAAACTGGGAAATATTCCATAGTCGTGCACCAAATCTGGGAAAAACAAAAGACGGAGACTAAAATTGTCCCAGACACTAAAGTCGGGGGATCAAAAGTGGAAAAAATTCTTTCGAATCACATGGGTTTTACTATCGTTCCGCTAATAGTTAAATCTGTTTTAACGATCAAAATTTATATATTTGAAAATTATATTGAATTTTATTTTTGAGCCGAGTATTCGGCGAAGAAACCACAAGGCTTCCCAGTCTAGGGGCAAGGAAACACCCGGCCTATTTGTTAAAAAAGATAGAAAACATATAAGGGGTAGGAGGACAAGACTAATGCCTACTCGAGATCAAATACATAGGGATAGCTAATAGCATCAAACTTTAAGGTACCAACAACATGATCAAAATGATGAGCCGTAGTATGGATAGACATACTCTTATGACTCTCGGGTTGATGAAAGTGATCACACAATTATAGTTCTTTAGTCTTTCCTTGATTTCATGAAGTTTTGGCCAGAACTTCCAACGTTGAGCAGATATTATCAACTTCAAGAATGAAATTAGTCATATTAGTACTCTTGTTGTTGATAATAATATCAATAATAATGGCATGATAGGAAGCAATGAAAAAATTCCTGGTAAGCAAATTGGTACAGAGTATTGCATTGGAAGTTTACAAATCTGGATCGGTAAAAGATGGGCCAAGGTTATTTAATGTGGTTGTGAGAGTATTGTCCATTCTCACACAGTTACCCATATTGACTGTTGGTCTAACTCTTCATTATTGAAAAACTAAAAATATACCGCATAGTTAATAGGATTATATTTAGCCTTGGCCGCTGATGAGATATCGCGGATTTCATATACAACTACTAGATGTATTGCATCCACTGCAGCAACATCAAAGGAGGGCGGCGAGTCAATAAACATAAAGTATATAAATATAGGACTCCGAATAGGTAGATAGTACTACCTCCGTCCCACGAAATAAATCTCACTTCAATTTGGATCGGAGTTTAAGAAAGTGATAATAAATTGGAAATGTATGGTTGTGGTTGAGTAAGAAAAAGGTAAATGAATGTTAGCCACACAAAACTTTCCAAAAAGGGAAATGAGGACAATTTTTTGAGACGATCCAAAAAAGAAAGTGGGACTTATTTTATGGGACGGAGGGAGTATATAAATACAAACATGATTTTTACGAAGAGTTGATTTTTCCCCATAAAAGTTATACTTGTATTATTTTAGTAGTTCTGTTTGATTTCTTTACTTGTTCTATGAGCTAAAGTTTTCAACCAATCTGTTTTTAGTATATAATGAAAGTTTCCTTGCAATTCAGAATAAATTCTTGAATAGAAATCTAAATGAGCCCTAACATGTAACTCCCGGCCAAGCTAAACTACTTTAATTTCTCAATTCAATCATCTCTCGTTTGTTACTATTAGAGCCTTTTCTAATAAATCTCTTATGGTATCATGTGTTTTTGTTGGAATACGCCCTTTATTTTACAAGATGATCCCAACATTTTAGTAACATAATCATGAAGAAATATCCAAAGAAAGTATCCACAAACTTCTTCTTTTTTGTGCAATAGCCACAACAACTAATTGTAATTGGTAAGAAAACAATGAATATGTCTTGTGTATGGAATTTCATTTAAGATATTCTTAAATCCATTAACCTCACCACACATTTTAGAAGTCTCGTCGTACCATTAACTTCTAATTTAAAAAAAAATCGTATTTCACAAAAAATAACCACCAATGTCACTTTACAAAGAATGACCGTGTCAAGAACATGTATAATTGTATGAAATCGCTTCATCATACCTCCGTAATCATTTAATGTATTATAACAATTTACTTATGCTATTTGAGAGAATTATTACATATCTAATAGTCATAATTTTGTATCAAGAAGCGGGGGCATTGATTATATCATAAGTACTAATACTAAATTTCGGGGTCGGAAGCGGGGGCACTTGCCCCCCAGGACTCCCCTAGGTCCTCCACTATGGTTGATGGAATGAGAGAGGAAGGAGCTACGTTGTTTGATGAGAGACTCGGCGTAGAGTAAGTAATGAAGTTGACCTTAATCGAGAAGGGCTTAAGTAAAGCCAAAATGGTTGTTTGTTATCGAACTGGGCTGATGTTAATATGGACCAAGTTTGGACGGGATTCAATATGACTGTTATGCTGGTGATATACTTAGGAAATTAATATAAGGGAAAAATAATTAAAATACCCCAAACTTTGAAGGGGTGTGCGATGAACACCCCAAACTTGCATATGTATTTTAAATACCTCAAACTATATATAAAAATTTATTTTGGCACCATAATCAAGTATTATTTTTTTCAAAACTGTAAATTTAAGGTGTTAATTGCATAATTTACTTATCGAGTATAGAATAAATCTGCTTGTCTTTATAAAATGGATGCTTTATTCTGAAAAAAAACGTTTAAAAAGAGCAATGTGAAATAAATAATGTTACACCCAATCTATATAATTGCTACACTTTTAATTTGCTATTTTAAATTATGCAACTAACCCCATAAATTTAAATCTTTGAAAGTTATAATACATGATAATTGATGGAGTATATTCCCGTACACCCCATGGGTGCCGCGATCGCCGCTAGAAAGCCTTGCGGGTTCATCGGGGGCAAGAAAATACTAAGTCCACATCTGGATCCGACCCCGACCCCGACCGCCGAGGTCGGGGAACACCAGGCTCAGGAATCAAGTAAACTCAGCAGATAACAGGGTCCACCGACCCTGACCCCGACCTCGAGGTCGGGAAACATCGAGCTCAGGAGCCAACCAAACTCGGCGATCCATGAGCCCGACCTCGGGACATCCGAGGTCGGCTTCAAATCTGACCTCAGAAGTCTTGCTCCAGGTCAACACCAATCAAAGCACCAGGCGGTCAAGTCACCTCCAGAGCGAGAACGGGAGACAGCAAAACGAGTCCTCTCAACATGGGCCCGAGCCCCCAGATACCGACCTCAGTAACCCTCGAGGTCGGGAGGAAAGCACCCTGTACTTAGGCGAAATCCGCAAGGGCTTAAGTCGTGAGGAAACATCGCCACGTCACTCTCCGCACTGGTGGAATACGCCGGATTGTCTGCACACGATCTCTGGCAGGAATTCTGTTAGAAGATAAACCAATCAGCCAGCTATCAGAAGTTCTCTCTCTAATCAGCTTTCCACGTGGCTGCTCCCGGTTCATTCAGGCTGGTAGTTTGTTAGAGTAGCTTTACACGTGCCCCTCTCCTATTAGACTAGAGTCTTTTTACTTGGGCACCAAGTATTTCCTTTTCTCCTTAGTATAAATATCACCTTCCAACTTGTGGATAGGGATGCTAAATCTATTGCACTCTTGAGACTGATACACTGGGATTTTGTTAATCGAATACCTGACTTTTCCGTCCAGTTCACTCTTCCCTTTACTTTCATTCTCGGTGGATTCCGGCTACCCTTGGTCCGACGATCCATCATTTTTGGTGCTTTCATTGAGAGCTAAACTGTGAACAAGTCAGATCCTCCCAATTTTCTTCAGATCCACAGCGAGTTTCTCCACAACAATGGCGGGAAAGAAAACCCTCAGAACTCGACGTGTTGCTGCCGCCGTCGCGCAGGTGGAACCCTTGCTGGAAGCTACTGCTACTTCCGGCACTAGGAGGGCCGCCAAGGGGAAACAAGTCGCTAGACCTTCTATTGATCTGCGCAGCCAGATCCAGCATACTTCTCCAGATCTGCGCCAACAGATCTCTTTCAATCGTGATGCAGTGGCAATGTCGTCCGCACAGGTGATCCCACAATTCCAGAACCTTGTGATGGTGGATCCCTCTGTAGCGGTTGGCGCCCTCATCACAGGACTGCAGCAGGTGCTCCCCACGCTGCAATCCCAGCCTGCGGCTATTGAGGCTCCTCAGGCCACTCGACATATCTCTTCGGCGAATTCTGGATCTCGCTCTCTGAGAGTAGGCTCTATTGATGCTCCTTTGGTGGAGGAGAGACCGACGCAGATGATCTATCAATCACCCCCTCGCCAGAGGGCGACTCCGGGGATCAACTCTCCCCCAATCCGCTGGGTGGCTTCTGCAGCACCCGTGAACGATGTGCCTCTCGCACAACAGGCAGGGACTTCTCATCCCGCTACGGCAACGCAGAGGATGGCACCTCCGCTGCCTCCCGCATTGCCTCCAGGTACAGTACACGCCGTGTAGAATACGGCTGTACTAATGATGAAGGTGTCTATGTTGTCACCACTGAGGACTCCTCGCAGTCCCCCTCCTGCAGCAGGATGACAACCCCAATCCTTGGATTGAGGTGGGAAGGCGTCCCATCTTCTCCAGATTGGGGGACAGATCTATGGC